TATTATGTGAAATTGTACAAGGGCGCGTTTTTTGTAGTTTCTCGTATTCAAACAAAAAACGATTATGCAATTGATGAAATGCCTAGTGTTATAATGGAAGTAAAATAAAGGTACAAAAACGCCACAATATAAGCGACTTGTCACTGAAACATGCAACTTAATCAGGCTACCTCCCTGCACAATTCGCAACTTCAAACTCCGTAGTTTTAGCGAAGTCGATTTAACTCTACTTCTAGCGAGCGGCTAGTGAATTCTCATCCACCTCTCCCCGTTCCTGTTGAGTGAACTGGTGATCCAGAGGCCGCTGCAGCTGGTTCAGCTGTGTCTGATATCCTGTTAGGTTATCGGGTTGAAGGGTCTGCGCTAGAGCGATTGACCGTTGATAGCTACCCTTGTGCTTTTCGCTTGGCCACGCCCGTGTAAGCGTTCTCTAGACCTGCCTATAATCGTCGCCCCTCCACCGTAGGCAGACCGCGTGCCAGTGTACAAGGTCCAACACTCGCTGTCCAGATAATTCAGTCGGGGGAGCATCGTGCTTTTAACCAGTGGATTCAACTTTCGAATGCGTTGTTGGGCCAAACAATTTATGTTGGTCGCAGGCTTGTTGTTCCACACACCGCGTCCCACCCACAGCCCCATTATCTTCTGATAGCTTCTAATGGAAACAAGTGAAGACTGTCGCCATCCAATTTTCCTCAAGGTCGACCCAGAGCCGTAGTGCTGTTTCGTGAAGTACCGTGTGCTGGATTCTGATTGGTCTACTTTATGTTCAAAAAGGCAGGCCATGTGTTGGTCCGCAGCCGGTTTACTGCACACGTTCAACTGCAGTATATGGCGTTTGTTAGTTTGATTGATTTATATGTAACTATTGGTGATGTACAACCTTGCTTACTGGGCTTTAGCTCATGAGCTTTATTTCTGTTTTCCATCCACAGAAATTTTCGTGAACACATGCCTTCGGAGAATCACTGTCCCAGGGTGCTTCCATAGCGTGCATATTACACAACCCATGTGACGGCTGTTAATTCCAGTGGCATATACTCTCAAAAACAGCTTTTACGCGGTCTGATCGCCTTCATTTGGTGGGATAAATGCGCATATATTGTTACAGTTACCGAGGACGAAGGTGCGTAAGTAGGTAGAGTCAGATCTATTGAGGGCAAATTGAGTGCCACTGAGAAGATGCAGGATTTTGTTCGAGCAATTTTCTCTAGCCTCTGACTCAAAAGTGTAAAGGCCGGGGCGGCCGTTGTTAGAGTCGGGCAGGCCGGACAGCAGTACTGCTGCTCTTGACAGTCGGGCTTATGTGTAGCTGGTGCCACAAATATGTCGGAGGTTGGCACTTCCATGGCCTTTCAAATTCGGGAGTTATTTTGTGTTTACCCTATGTTTTCAGACAGGAGGATGTCCAGCTAGAAGAACTTGTCTAAAATATCGACTGGTTCACCTACAAAACAAGGTTTGCTCACGATCCCGCCCAATTTTTCAGCGGAACCTTGTAGTTTATAGGTGCAACACATACACACACACACCGAACTGTGCTGCATTAATATTTAAGTTACTTAAAGTCGTTTGCATTTCTCAAGGTTCTGATCCAAGAACACTAATACCACTGGCGCACTCAGCTTCCGAGAGCAAGCTCTCCTTTACTACGCTGAACCCTGAGCTGTCGGAGTCGGGTAAAGGAGATTGAAGCAGAACATCGAATACGAAGTCGAAGAGGAAGTGTGATAGAATATATCTCGCCGTATAATCTCACTCCCAGAAGTCTGATAACACAAAGAACGTATTTTGATCACAAACTTCTGGGGCATTCCTTCATGGACAAGCGTGTCACGGGGGACAGACCGGTCAACGGAGCACCTTGGAAATCCAGGACTACTAAAATTGCAGATTGTTTATACGTATGGCTTGGTTCTACTACTTGATGGAGTGTGAATATTCGGTCAGTTTACCCCCACTATGCCGGAACCCTGATAGCTGCTTTTAACTTTTCACTTTATGACTGCTTATTGGCTGGTATACTGCGAGAGTGTCCAAACACAGAAAGGAGAGTCGTCCTTTTTAGCCGTTGACCCGAAAGTCCAACCGCAAGGCATATGTAGTTGGTGGAAGACCACTGGAGCAGCCTACATTGTAAAGGGGCAAGTCACCCCACATGTTCCAACCCCCAACCTAGAGACTGTTAGACCTCTACCCGTTGGCCAGCTTCGCGTGAAATGATTTGTGGGTGTCACAATGTTCATCCTACTTTGCAGTTTTGTGGTCGAACAGATTGTTGAATAAATTCCGGAAAGCCTTGAGGACTTTTTATATTTTGACGGTCATCGATGAATGTCCAGAAAATGTAGAAAACAGCTCTCCCGCCTCCGAAGTAAAGAAACAGGTGTTTTTTGGTTAACTGTCATAGGCCATCCCTTTCTCTGGTCTACACATTTCAGCCAAAATGTAGGAGTTTGTGCCCCAGTACATTCATTTCATTTCAGTTTATCACCTATAAACCATTTACCAAACATACTTTGGTTCAGCTGTTAGAGCTCCCGTCAGGAAAATATGGGAAAGTAAGGAAGATACAGCCGTTACCTTGATCCAGCCGTCTGTTCGTATCACAGCTAGGCATAATGGGCGATATGATTGTATGTTATGATGGAACGTTGAGTTATCTACATCTAAAATTCTGGTGAAAGTACAACTCCTGAGGTGTCGTGACATGAAAAGCCAATGGACACTCCTGGTTACTTTCAAGGGACTCTCTAACCAAGCCAGTATCCACCGCAGCGTGGTACTATTGCCGCTACCTGTACATTCATCATCTTTCATTGTCAGCTGTAATAACCGCGTACTTATCGTACAGTGGTTGTAGCTGCCGCAGTTTCGTTCACTGATGATTTGGGTGGGTGGGGGTATGTAGCTGCGCATTACAGGCGGGAGCTGGGGGCGAGATGGTCCAAGTGGCTAGAGCGCGAATTTACTGATTGGAAGGTCCGTGGTTCGAAAGAGTGGTATGTATTGAAGGCAATAGCTTGGATGCACTAGCATCGTTGAGGGCGCGACTGGGTCATGTCTGACAATGTCTCTAGCCATTGATGTGGCCCATCTCGGGATCCCCATCCAGGAAGACGGCAGTGACCAGCGCAGCTGAGTTTGCTGGCAATGGCTTTCGTACTTCGCTGCCAAGTCATTGTCTGACCGCCTCTGGCTCTCTTCCACTCTTCACGTGGTTGTGTGAAAAGAGCCCTTCAAGGAAGTCGGTTGACTGGCATACGCAGCACCTGTCCAAGCCAGCGCAACCTATACAGTTTGATCAGTTCATCTACCGAGGGTGAGTTATTTTCCCCGAATACCATTCGACGTACTTCAGAATTGCTGATCCGGTGTTCCCACCGGAGTCGGGAAATGCTCCGAAGACATCGATGGTCAAACACTGAAAGTCTCTTGACGTCCTCAGCGCGCAGGAGCCAGGTTTCTGGTCCATATAGTAATATGGAGAGCACGGCAGCATTGCAAACTCGACTCTTGACAGAGAAGCTGATGTCACGCCTACACCACAAGTTCGCAAAAGCTGCTCTGGTCTTCCCAATCCGCATGGAAATACCTTTGGTAAGACCACCAAGACTGATACAGCTGCCCAAGTAAACAAATTTGTCTACTACCTCAATCGGTTCATCCGCAAGCATGAAGTTAGGGTTCGAGTCCACCCAGTCTTACAGCAGCACTTTACACTTTGCAGTTGTGAAGCTCATCCCGAACCGCGAGGCAGACTTATTTAGATTATTTAATATTGTTTGCATCACGACGGGGTCAGGTCCAAGAAGAGCTATGTCGTCTGCATACTCGATGTCTGTGAGCGGAGGCTCAGGGCGCACTTCTACCTCACAGGCATTAGAGGCTGTAGTGAGTCTCCCATGATCGTATCAGTGACGAAGTTGAAAAGGAAAGGTGAAAGATGACAGCCCTGTCGGACACCACTTGATGTGGTGAACTCAGGAGAGAGCTTCCTGTAGACCTTTACGCGACCGCGGGAATTGGCGTACAGCGCCTTAATGAGGACCAAGAATTTATGGGGGTCACCTTTGCTCCACAGACACTGCACCGAAAAGGTGCCATGGCTGAATGATTTGATTCGGAGCATCTGGAACAACTATAATTCTCATGCTGGTGCTTGCTTTCATTTCATTTCAGCTTCCATCTTATTCGTCCATCTTCTCAGAAGTTCCAGTTCCTCTGATCATCCTACCCCACGGGGGATATGAGTGGAGGTCTTGCCCCAAGCAAGAGTACGGTTTACATCAGCAACCTGCCTTTCTCTCTGACGAACAATGATTTGCACCAGATACTAAATCCGTATGGGCGAGTAGTGAGGTAAACATTTTATGTTTTCTACTATGGCAAGCGTTCAGAGTCCTGTTCTTAATGAGGGATTACGTTTTTTTTTCAAAATTTATTTGCCAGTTATGTTTATCGCCAGGATTCTGGCTCGTACTCTATTTCTGGAACTCTACGGCCACCAATTTAGCGAAGTCGAATTTTCCTCAACGGAGCATATTTGCACTTAAGTAGCAGGAAGATGAAGAGTCACTGGATACTTCGAAGAGAGCGCATTTAGTATTCATTTCATGGTGTTGGATCTTCTCGCATAAATGATAAACACCTGCATTCATGTAGCTTGGGTGGACGCCGTTTTTTTAAATCAGTGGTTACCCGTCAATACGTACCTGAACCTTCAGTTCGGATTGTTTCCAACAATCGGTCTTTGAAGGACTTTTACAGAGTAATTCAGTGAGGTATCTTTGTCATGTAGACATCAATGCTTTATCGACTTGTGTCGGTTCAGGGCTTTTCAAATTATTCACACACCAAAGTATTAGCACTACAGAAGATGAACGGAAAACCGTTTGACTTGTTGGGCCCCTGATGCACAAAATAGGTCATTTAATCCCAAACGTTTTGTTGGGTATAATTTTTCTCAAAATGCACTCATTTATCAATACGTGTTGCCTAAACCAATTTAAACACATTGAGGCATTTTACACCACATCCAGCTTTACGCAGTTTTATTAGTACATATACGCGGCTTTTCCCTTACTTGCACATTGCTTGTTCGAAAGTTCTGAGGCGAATATAGGATACTTAAATGAGTCATTCGCTATTCCTTACTCGGGATTCAGGTACTACGTGGGAACAACTCATCGAAAACCGACAAATGTAGGTATACCTTTTTCTTAGGCACCGCCATCTCAATGAAAAATCTAGATGAGGACCGGATGATGATTAAACTTAGAAGCGATCCTGACTGACTAGTCAGGCTAAGGCGAGTGAGGAATTGAGTAAACGAATGGAGAATATGTCCAAAAGTGTATATATATAGGGCATGAACTGCAGTTCACACTTAGTTAGTGGTTCTAGCGAACACAGCCGAATAGTTATTGAGTAACATGCTGCGCAAGCGGTGTTTTTCTTTCAGAAATGTTGTATGTCTCCTTTCTTTAGTCAGTCAGCCGTGGTGCCCGCGCATGTGAGGGAGGCTTCAACACGCCAGAAACTTTGTGGCTCTGTTGACGTTTTCCAGCGTGTCGAAACTACTTTGTCCAGTATGGACCATGTTTACTGTTTTCTTGGCTGTATGTATTCAGAACTCAGGATGTTGGCCTCATTCTCTGTTTCAGACAATGTTATTTTAGAACTTTAGATCAATAAACGGCGACAGGCTTTAACTTCGTTTCCGTAGAAAAAAGACAGGATGGATTATGGATTATTGCAGATCCGCCAAGACCCTTTTATGTTGTGCACACCTATCAATGTCTTATTTGACAATGTTGATAGAAACTAATTGTAATAACGTCACATCCATACTCTGGTTCTCAGTCGCGTCCAGTTTACCAACGTGGTATGGTATCTTTTCTCTGGAAGTGTTTTCCGGAACCCTTCCTGCGGATGTCACTCCAGTAGGCAATTTCCGTTTTTCAGTTTATACGCTAGTTATTGGACCTCAGGTGGAACTGTTTCCCGTTGTTTATTCGTAGCCCTTCTGCTAACAGCCTCTGTATGTATTGCCCCAGACAGTAGCAAATTTTGGTCCTGATACCTACGTTTCTTTTCGTCTTCCAGGGTGACTATAGTGAAAGACCGTGAGAGCAGAAAAAGCAAGGGCATTGCGTTTGCATTATTCCTAGATCGGAACGATGCCCGCCAATGTGCCTCCCAGCTCAACAACACAAAGGCAAGTATGTAAACAAAGCATGCCGAACATGTTACACACGTGAAGTCACGCCAACATACTTGGTTTATGTATAGCCCCTTGCATGTTGCATCGAGTCTACGTTAACGGATCATACCGATTAGACCGTTCTGAACCAATTACTTCTTGCACTTAGACCGCAGGACGCACTTCATGCGGTGCACAGCGTTCTTCACACATTGTGGGTAGCGTTGTGCGACCCTCTTCAACCGACTGACAACTTCGGACTTCTTGGCCACCTCATATCTGGCACTGGCTGTACCTGCGCCCCTTGGACGGTGCTATCATAATAGATGCTACCACGGAATTGCGTTTTACCTATATTTTAAAGCCAATGCTTCCAAGTACTTGGCAGCGGTGAGCCGAGAAGAGTAATCACTGGTGAAGGAAACTACTCACAAGGTTGATGACAACTCTTCGACTCAATTGGATCTCTCGTTTATGATATTCGAAGAGTTTTCAGCAACTTGGTGAGTAGATTCTCCTGTGAAAATAGACTGCGATACCTCGAATGTCGTACCAACTGACATGAAGCGGCCTTTGTGCAGCATATTCAGTGAATATCCTGTGAATACCGAACTGAATTGCAAGTGAGTGTATTTGCAGTAATCACTGGTGTTTAAATTGCTTTTCATTTTTCCCCGGTGGGTCCAGGGTTGTGTCCCACGATAAAACTGGCGCACAAGCAATGCATCTGACAAGATCGGATAGACCTTGATGAACACTGTTCAGTGCAGTTTTATTATGTTTTAGAAAAACTCACTTTCAATTGAGATTTGGTCCTGTCAGTGAAGCCAATCTTTGCTGAAAAGCTGAGAAGCACTGCACAGCTCTTTCGTCCTTTATGGGAATCATCAGTATTGCGCACCCCACGAAAATATGAGTTTCCTGTCTAATTGAGAGCTAATCATACTGCTGTTCATCCACTCGTGGTCGAACAGTTAAGCATTCAACCACTGGCCGGAAGGTCGTGGGTTCGAAACTAAGTTTCCTCGGATGCATACTGCCTATGATTCCCAATATGCATAAATCAGCTGAGCAGTTTTTCTAGGCTTTTCAGCATAGGTTGGCTTTACTGACAGAATGAAATCTAAGTAGAAAACCCTTGTCCATGTCATTTGTGTCCACCAGCTTTTATCTGACACATACTACACTATATACTATCTACCGCGGTTTACAAACGTGATCTGTTCTATTCGTATTTTGACCGCTGCAAAATAACCACGTCGATATTTTTCCTGCGCAGTAGCTCTTTGGTCGGACCCTGAAAGCTTCCATCGCAAAAGATAATGGAAGAGCAGCGGAGTTTATCAGGCGCCGTGAATACCCCAACAAATCCCGATGTTATGAATGTGGAGTAAGTTCCACCCCATTTCTACTGCCGATTGTGCTTTTCTTTTTGAAAACATCATATTTCCGTCGAGAATGGTCTCCCGGTTACACGGACTGGGCGTGCAGTCCCGGACACTTTGAGAGTTGAGAGATGATATTTCACGTTACTCGAATTTGTGATAGTAGCACAGATGACAATCATATTTTTTACTAATGGCTTGAAACGGTCGTAAGCCAGGGCATCTGTCTTGGAATGTTACCTAATTTCCGCGTACTTTAGCTAGGATGGTACTAGATGGGTAAAACTTCAACTTTGGAATGTGCTGATAACACACATTGAAGTTCTGTGATATCAAAACAAAGGGCCTACGGGACTATGGTTCCCAGGACAGGAGTGCTCTCTGGATGGGCACTCGAGGATAAGTTTCATTGTGTAGTTTCGGATATTTTCGTTTTCGGAGGTTACATACAGATGGATCCTTGAAACAGAATAGGACTTTTCTGGTCTATCCAAGTAAGCCGCTACCATGGACCACAGCTATTTCTCCTACTATATATTCCATATGCATTGTAGAGTTTTCCGCTGGTTATTTTAATTCTTCCATGGGTTGCACATCTCTTCAGTGTGAGTCTTTTTGGAGGGGATGATACACCAAGTAGCTGTGCTGTATCTTCTCTGTCCGTATTTCTGGAATTTGGAGAAAGTCCTTTGACAGGAGCCTGAAAGAATGGTTCGAGTTCATTCATGGGTAGGTGATTGCACTTATATGGTCCCTGATGACCCATGACCATCTCAGCCTTCTTACCCCGGGTACGCGACAGCCACACACTTGATGGTTATCACGGTTGTGATTCTTTTTGAATCTCAACAGCAATCCATTGGGAATGTGTATTGACGAATGTAGATAACATAAAACATTCGAACTTCCAGTTCGACACGCAAACATTTTCTTGCTTTGTGCTTCTCTAATGTAACACTAATGGTGCTTTCAAATTTCTTCTTTCTTGCCCTACGTTCCCGCTTTGTTCGAAATCGTATTTCTTTTATCCTCTATAGGAATTCGGTCACCTCAGTTACAAGTGTTCTAAAAATGCGCTTGGAGAGCGGGTTCCGCCGCTGAAGAAAAGAAAAGACAGAAAAAAATCCGAGTAAGCTTAGATTCCTGATCGTAGCCTGGATGTACTTTTGAAAGATTTCATGCAGTCTTTCAGAATCAAAAATTGTATGCAACAGTACACGTTACTAAAGGATTCCTGTTTCGTAGACAGTTCACGCTTTCTGATTGTTAGGCCTGAGGAAACGATTTAGTCGACTTTGAATCACATGACGTCAGCTGCGAGATTGAATGATGATGGGTCGTATTTCATCAGCCACTCGTCCCCGAATGTTTGGTTTTGTGTCCGAATCTACTCCGAGAATCGTTAGGCGCTCACCTCAGGTGATTTTCAATAGCGATGAAGCAGCTGCATAAGGCTTTTAGACATCTCGGTTTAAACTGACTTCAACGTCACTGTGGGATTTCAGTTAAAAGCTCAGGACTATTCAGTGATGGATGAAGTTTTGTTTTTCACCAACTACTCTTATTTGTATACTAATTTGGTTTCGACGGTCGAATCAGTTGCATCCGGCCGAAGCTCTAGTTCATGGTACGGTTTTTTGTAATGAAAAATTGGCACTGACGGGAGGTCTCTAGTCACCGTCGATAATTTGGGTCTAAAAATGCGTTCCTTAACTTGGTGTCACTGAACCCCTAGTTGTTAGTAAGTTATATCATATTAATCGACATGTTTTATGCATAACATCTCATCCTGAGTGTGTTGTGGACATCACAATTGCATACCACCGCCACATTTCCCAATAAACGAAGGCCGGCAAGGGTGAGCTTTGTTTTGTCAGTTAGATGTTTGTAAAATCAATGGTGATGATCAGTAGCTCGTATCGTAAAAAGATAGAGTCGTTATTGGTTGAAGACCCATAAGATCTATGGTTTGTTTTCGTTTTCATAAGGTTTCGATTATGAATTTCACTGTGCAAGTGAAGTTATTCCGGTCCAAGAAAGCTGACTAGCACGTTACAGCTGTTTCATCCCCGTCAGAAATCAACAATGTAGACCGTCAGTCTCTACGGATATTCAGATCGGCTGATTGTTGAATAACATGACATTTGGTCATGGGTAGTTCGCCAGCATTTAGACAGGATTTTGTGTCACCATCCTTCAGCAGTGCTGCTCGCTGGACAGGCGATTACTCAAGTAAATGTTTCATGCAATTTATATTGTGCTGGACTGATTGGTGTAGTATTTAACCGCCAACCGGAATACTGTGAGTTCGAAGCCCCATGAAGCTGCACTACTGACGATTGCCAACTGGTATTAAACAACGCTATGATGGTTCTTGAATGTTCAGCACAGGGTGACTCCACTCGAAAACTTAAACCCACGTTTAAGTTATCAATTTTTCCCAACCGGCATTAGTAACATACGCAACGACATACGGGTGTTACTGAAACTTTTGGGCTGTGTTGCTGAACCGGCGTCGCTAGCGCTTTCTGGGTCAATCGTTTTAACAGTTATGTTCAAGTACTGGAATCTGAGCTGTTGCCGATGTACTATAGTAAAATACCTGACAATTCAAATGTTTCAATATGAGTCAGATAATTGGTTGCAACTAATTCCATACAAGACCAGGAGGAGCAAATTTTTTCTACATCCAATATATCTCCTAAAAACTGACTGTGGTTCGTTCTTGAAAATCCAGTTCTTGCGTTTTCCTGACTTCTCGCGCATTTACCAGCTCCTGTTGGATTTTGACCTTATTTGCTGATTATGTATTACCTAATTTTGTCATTCCGGAAAGACCTGATTCAAAATGGTGGTGTGGCGATAATTAGCTTGCCTCGCATATGAGATATCCAGTGTTTGAGTCACGATACGGCTAATGGTATGCACTGTTGGTGGACTATGGGAAAGGAACTCGTTTGCGGCGCGTGACTTGGATTCACCAGACTGATCGCAACCACTGTTGACAGCTGCGCGCCCTTATGTTATTTCAACTTCATCACTTTCCACCACGTACCCTTAGACCTCGGCATATACTGCCTCCGAACATTGTTCTCGTAATCCAGTAGGAGACTGGAAGTTGTAGGTTGCCGTACAGGCTTCGCTAATTGTGACGTTTGATGTAGGTAGTTGTCAAAGACTAGGATCGACAATTTGTACCACTTGAGTCACTGAGAAATTATGATTTAGTCTTAAGAATCGTGTTTACCAGGCTACGAGCTGTGTTGTATGATTGCAAACGGCCTCTGCAGGTCTTCGACAATCTGTGTCCTCGAATAGCCACTGGTAATGGATGGCATCAGTGAAGTTGGAAGGAAGTAACTAGAAAACGCATTTGGTTGTCCCCGTGGCTCTTCATACACTTGATTGAGGATGGTTTGAGGTATGGCCTTCATCCCGGCAGTTCTTCTCCACATCGTTTAGTTGGCCATTTGGGGTTGTAGATTCCACGAACTTGCGACCAGTAGTTTGCACTGCTTCATGCAAATGACTGCTTACTGAAGATTGACGCCGTGTCTATCGGGAGTCGCGCTTTCTCCTGAACATCATTATGTGTGGTATAATTAGTCACTTTTTACGTAGTAACGATGACATGGGTTTGCTGCTTTTTGTGACATCCTGGTGACCCTGACGTACTTCAAGGATGTCTGTTGTCTTCATTTCCTCCCCCCATCAGTCACAGTCTGACGTTCCCTTTCCAAAATTCGGTATCAGAGAATAATTAGAGTCAACTCCTGAGAAATCCCAGCTGGTCCTTCCATGTTGAAAAGTCAAAGTCACTCACTGAGTATTTTAAACGTACCATAAAACCCTCTAGTGAGGTTAACAAACACGTATGTTCCCACACTAGATATGGCCTTACTCTATTCTTTCCCCATAGTCCACGAGAAGGACTTCTGCTAAATTGAAAGACTTTTGAAGCACATCCCATGATGTACTGCAATTTCAAGGACTGTCCCTGTTGATTGGCCAGTCATCACAGTCACGGTTACTCAATCTCTTCACGCAGGATTATTAAGAGAACTGAACATCCAGTTAAGCTTCAGATGGCTCTGTGGTTGAGGCGCGAACCTACTGACCATAAATTCCTTGGTTCGAACTCGATCGCTCTTGTCCAGGCTTGGGCGACCCGGCGGCATCTCGGCCCTCGTGGCTTGGCAGCTAGGCACTGCAAGAGTGTTACAGCTAGACTTTACCAACCATTCACCTCAGTCCGTTGTGCCTGGCGCCATTTCTGATTTTGTCCAAATCACAATTATCTGCTCTTACTAACGCTTACCGTAATTCTGTTCTTCATTACTGGATGTCATTTTTGGGTCTGTATTTGCCGTCGTAGCGATATGAGCCTCCCACTTGTCATGATCAGCTTTCACGCCTGGGGACAGATGAGTGTGTGCCATGTAAGCCGACACGAGCTGCCTGTTGACACTACTATTCTTTCGGAGATTTCGGAAGTCAAACTACAAACCTGAACACGACTTTCAGATAATGGGGTTACTGAAAAGTGGAACAAATGAAATGTGCACCTGGAACAGTGAACAACACGATGATTCAACGTAACTGACATCTGGCTTTCAAAATGTGCATATTATGTTTTGTCGGAAGAATCTTGCCTTTTGCACAGATGGTCATCCTCAAGATGTACTGAAAGTTCTTCATTGATCTTAAGTACGCAGTGGCTTACATTCTTGGACTAGAAGCAGTGTATGCTTCAACGAGGTTTTACCTGTTCCACCATTCGGTTTAGTGGTTTTTCTCGTTCAGATGACGTCGACTTTTCCATGTAGTACAACTATGGACCGTCTATTCTAAGTTGATTTGATATGTGTTTATTTTATACACAACTCTTTGGATAACTGGAAAAAAATCATGTTGGTTCTTTACGTAACACGTTACGTGCCCATATTCCAATACTAAAACTCTGGATGCCTCTTACTTGCTCTCCCTGATTCTCATTGACCAGCAGTTCCAAACGCCCCCGGATGTCCGGTGTGGGAACGGAACCTTATCAGGGTACCAATTCTGCTGACGGTGATGTTGATGAAGAGGAAGAGGGCGAGGAACCTGGACTGGATAGCTGGAGCGCCGCTGTAAACTATCAGACGAACCTTCTTAGTCAGTCAAGCTCGACGTCTTCCGTGCTTGAACCAAATAGGAAACGACGCATTCGTCCAGACACTTATTTCTCAGATGAAGAAGAGTTGGATGAAGATGTGTGATCACGTACACTCGTTTAGAAACAAATATGACCACTTTTGACACTTTGGTCTGTATATAATCTTTCTTTCTGGATATCCTGCTAAGCATATATACCGCGAAGCGGATGCCTTTGTACATATATGCATCTCCCATACACTTGTATACTTAATCGCTCGTGTTCTGTGGCGTGCAGTTTGTGCACTATACGGATGTTTCTTTGGGACTCTAGAAACTTGTTAGGTGTGGACGGTATCGACCTAGTCTAGTTAGAACATCCGATGAGCAGTGTGGAGGTCCACTGAATGCTATCTTACACATCCTTGTTTGACACCAGTTAGTTCATGTGCTTTACATGTTGGGCAGCACTCTGCGTCTAAGCTTGCACCGATTGAAGAGTTCCAGGGAAGGTCAGGCAATGATCTGGCAGCAAACCACGATAGTCCGGCAAAGTAAATGGTATTCACAGCTGCCACCTCATCGTGTAGGTTACCAAAATGGTAAACGTAACTGGAGAGGAACACTGAAAGTCATCGTACAGCCACATAGGCACTGACGCTGATGCAGCCGGTCCATCATACGTGTTTAACTATCTTTATTCCAGACGCTCATTCTGAACCCATTACCCTTTGCTAACGTTATTCACAATTAGCTGGTGCACGCGAGAGCTATCAGTGCACAGTCGTCTCTTTGTGGTCATTGGGCGAAGGATTTCTGCAGCCGCTACCGCTGTACCTTGGTGCATGGCTTGTGGCTGATGCACTGAAATGCACTACAAAGCTGATAGATGTTTGGAATTCCTGTGCCTAAAAAACGTGTAAAATATCAAAATTACTCAGCTGAGCTCTAATGTTCTTTTCAGTTTGTAACATCTGCAGCATTTGTGGTTCTCGCCTCCGTGGTATTCAATAGTTCATGTTGCTGTATGGTAGGGATGACAGCGCTTTGATGGGAACTAACTCCAAGTGTACAATATCGTGCAGACTTGGTAGAGACCAATCTTTCTGGTGTAAAAAAGTCATAGGATTCCATTGAAATGGTTGGGCAGAAGAAGGCTTTGAAGTCGGCGTTACGATAAAATAACCGAAAATTTCTACGGTAAAATGGTTAAATAAGCATTTCAATGGGAGAGGTCCCTGATGTCTCCAGTACCAGGCAGCCGTTCTGTTTTTTCTCAGCCGGACTATCTAGACACAATATGGGGTAAGTCAGATGCCGAAGTTTACATAGTTCTTCTTCACGTCTTTCAGTTTGGACCCGAATGTCTCAGAAGGATGCCCAGGAGCGTTCATCCTGTGTGGAGGACCTAATCAAGGGAATTGATGGGGTTTGGTTGATATCTTTTGATTTAAAGCACTGCATCCACGGAATATAGCGTTGTTCATCCGAATGCTCAGCACGCTGATACCACCAAGCACATAAGATGGTCGGCCTGTAAAGAAAGAAAAGATCAAACACGTTCTATCAACGAATATCTTCAGTATGATGAGGCCCCAAAATGGTAACTGACGGAACCCGTGCGAGAGACATATCACGAGAATCGCCATTGGTAAAGTTATTTGTAAACAACCCCCGACCATTGTCATTCGAGGCGTACTCTTGTCCGTGATTTCTCGATATGATGATATTCGGCTTCCAATCCTGAGCATTTCCATGATATGAATATTTCTCAACGGTTAGCTTTCGATGCCAGAGTGTTGATGTCGTTTTGTATCGGGTGCTGTTGGGTTCACGTAGTACATATAGTCATGGTGATAGCGATAGTTATAGTCGTGACTTTGCACCCAACTTGCAGGCAGTAGTGCGGCGCAATTTCCACAGGGCAAACTTCATAGTGCAATCTGCAACGAAGTTGAACTAGTAAAGGAAGATTGGGCACTATCGAACATTAGCGCGCATATGAGGCGCACTACCCTGCACCCGTCTGATACTGAGGCTGACAATTCGTGTCATATTTATTCGTCGTCTTAGTGTTGATGTCGTTTTGTATCGGGTGCTGTTGGGTTCACGTAGTACATATAGTCATGGTGATAGCGATAGTTATAGTCGTGACTTTGCACCCAACTTGCAGGCAGTAGTGCGGCGCAATTTCCACAGGGCAAACTTCATAGTGCAATCTGCAACGAAGTTGAACTAGTAAAGGAAGATTGGGCACTATCGAACATTAGCGCGCATATGAGGCGCACTACCCTGCACCCGTCTGATACTGAGGCTGACAATTCGTGTCATATTTATTCGTCGTCTTTGTCCTCCTCCTCCCGTCAGCAAAAAAAAAACTTTTCTTTGCATATGAGAGAGTGCTGACCGTTTTTTTTCACGCACTCCTAAAAAATAGGCAAAATTGGCTCATTCAACTCGAACTCAGTCCTGTGACATCAAGATCAGTCTATTGCATCTGACAAAGCTGTCTAGTCTGTTCCAATGTATTCCGAACAGTTTCCTATTTCTGGATGATTTTCCTGACTGCTTTCCTCAAGCGGCAGACATCCTGTATCTTTGAAAGCGTCCACCACCTTGCTCGTCCAGACGAAATGCGCTCCAGGCTTGTCGACGTTTGCTCGTAGCACACTCATGAGGTACGGCAAGTCGTGACTAACCTTTTTTTTACTTGGTCAGTTACAAAGTCGAGTAGAATTTGTCAAAACCTCTGTCGGCTGAACAACAAAAGTGCACTTTGTACGCACGTATATCAGCGTATATTTTTGGAAATTCATCCTGCATTCGGTGCGAAAGAGCACAGTCATATGCGTATGCGTCCTGTTTACTCTGGAACAAAGAATTTGCCGTCCAAGAACATGGCGACTTTTGTGTGTTCAGGGTGTGTGTGTTAGATCAACGCCCTTGAAGCTTCTTGGGGATTTGTCCATTACAGAAGGTATCATTTCTTCATTCTATATATTTCTACACAGTAACCGGTGTACGGGATCTCTGGGCACATTTTCCCCACCGGCAGCTTCATGCTATCTTTCCAAAGCTAAAGAAGCTAAGTAGTACAGCGTGTTTTCATAGGGAATAGATACACCCTTTTCGTCATAGTTGTCTGATACCGTCGAGGTCGTTCTTACAAATTCATCAAGACCCTTTTATTGCACGTCCTGTCGTTCCCACGTGTTCGAACACAAAACTCACTATTGACATGGATAGTAAGCACGCCTTTTAGCCGTTCAGATTGTCTCATCTATTGAAACTACCCGCTCCGTGTTTGGAATGTCGTAATGTAACAATCTGTGTGGCTTTCTTGTACACAAAACAATGGCAGGAATCTTACCATGAATCTCTCTAATCTTTTGGAACCACTGGAAAGTGGTATGTTTGGTCCCTCGAGACCTTTGGTCATTTCGGATGTGGGGTTCGTTCATTGGTGCGCTGCTGAAGCAGATCCTTACAAGCTATATCATTGTTAGTAGTTTAGAGAGCGGTCCGCTGAACCCTGAGCGGCTTCTAGGTAAGTCAACCATTCTAGAATATCCGGCTTCTGGACGACCGGCAAACGTTTTTTTATCCTATCAGTATAGGTCGAAACCTTTGACACAGAACTGACTGACTGACAGGACTACAGTTAATTTTATTTGACTCAACTTACTCTCCTGCGGTTGGTCAAGTAAGGCTGTTTTCTAAACTACATTCATCATCTGCTCCCGAACCACACTACAATTACACTACCGTCTTCACTACTTACCAAGACAGCTAACAAGAATAGATGTGATGACGTTAAACGGTGGAACATTTTTCACAAGTCTTTGTGCTTCAAGTGGTGTCTAATAGTACAGTGACTTGATTCTGTCTGAGCATGTGAAGCTGTCCGAACCATCGACTGATGAAATCCTGCAACTTACTTAACCGGGTCCGCCGATCCTTCACAATTGCGTTCATCGTAGCATAGCAACCAAATCAGCTAACATTGGTCTAACTGCGTTTTCTCCCACGAAATGCTGTTCAGTTTTTCGGCTATTTGATTTGGATACGATCGCACCGGGTGTGGTTGGTATGTCGGAGGCATTAGTGCTGCGGACCATTTTCCAGGCGTTTCTAAAATGGTTATCTGGTTAATCCCTCACCCGCTAGATCATCTTAGTGCTCCCGAAACAGAGAAGTCAGTTCGTTATGCACTACTCATAAGGTTGCTGAAAATTCGTCGACAGCCGACGACCGGTTTTGCCCTCCTAAGGGCTCATCAGGTAGACGCAGTCCCCGAGTTTCCGTCGACCTTATGTTCTAGTTGAAACGAAATCAGCGAAATACACTCATTTACAAACTAATTTGGTTTGGTCAGTTATTAGTGGGGAAAGTTTGGATTCGTAAGCAGAAGATATCGTTTCGGAAGGTATAGCGTTTCCTTCTTGATACAAAAGCTTCTTCAAGTTATATGAGTAGATTACCATAGAAACAATTAGTAAGGTATCTTGCGGCGAACACATTAGGTCAGTATCAAATATTCGTTCAACGTTCTTGTTTGTTAGTGTGAATGACTTGTTGGGGATCGCAATAATCTTTTACAATATCGATCCCTGTATTTCCGTAATCCCAAATCGATTTCTGGATAGGACGTAAAATATATTCCCTGAATACTGTTTCAACTGGCTTCAGGAAGTGGTCCTGTAACCGGAAAGGTACAAGAGACTTTTTTGCTGCTCATTTATAGTTGATTTATATGATCCGCTATTTCCTTGGTATTTCGATGGCCTTTGAGTCTCTTCCTAGCCTCAGCTTCACTTGAGTTCAACTTGCGCTGGCGGACTTAAAAAGCCTTCTTCATATCAACATCTATTTAGTGTAACTCAAGGTAGTCCACAATTTTGGACACACACTATCTGTTTCCGCGGTGGGCAGCATCTTTGCCTTTTTTGCTTAAGGTTAGCTGTCAAAAGTAGCATGTGTGTTCAGCTCAGCTCGCTTGATTTCCTCAAAGACGCCTATCAACTTGGTGAAGATGACCGAGTTCATTTCAAGGTTCCATTCGATCTACAGGGCTATGGGTCAGACGACATCAAAGTGTCCACATCTGACAATGGTGTGACCGTAC